ATGTGCAAAGAGAACGCAGAAGGGTAGTCGATTGGTAGGCATACGCAATATGTAGCCAATCCATCAGACGGTGTAAAGCGATTACTTCTGTCACTGAACGACTATCCGCACCCAACCCAAGATGACAAAACTCGTCCTTACTCACCCGATTTCCCAACCAGAGACGACCAATAGTTTGGAGAAATCAGTGGCCTAATTCAGAAATTCAATTTAGCACCCTCAAAGCGGGCGGTCTAAGTCTTGTAGTAGTAAGGCAGAACACTACGAACCGCGGCCATGAACCATCTTCCCTTAAGGGATAAACGGATGTCATGGCGGTGCCGCAGGTGTCACGGGTTGGGAAAAGCTGCTCTAGCTATCGCTACTCGTGATGTGGTCTCTTTCCAAACCTCACCTACAGTTCTGATTAGGCTCCAGAAGTGGTTAAAGAACTCAACCACTTCCATCTGATCACCCCAGAGGGTGAGTGCAGACACAGGCTCTTGTCAGCCTTGAACAAGCTTTTTGCACTTGGATACCTCGATCACCAAGCGTGTTGGACCGTCTGTGTATTGTCACCAAGCAAGGCGATGTGATCGGCACATTCTAAGTCAAGAACTCTGTTCCCAGGGGGGAGGAGTTAGACTTCACCAATTGCGAGACAGAATAAACCATTCTGTAGAACATCCTCTATCACAAAGTTAAACAGGAATGAGGATATAAGACAATGTTGTTAAACTCCACTGGAGACGACAAAGGCTGGCAAAAGCTGGCAAGCAAAAGCTGAGGTATAACGGTATGCCACTCACTTTTTATGTAGGTCATTTCTCAATAAACAATTCCATAGCGAGATACATTCGACAGAGTCGAAGGCCGCGCGGATGTCTAAGAACATACTGATCGTTGATCTTTGATTCGCATGGTTATGCTCTAGCAGCCATCAGTGGGTGAAGATTTGATTGATGCATCCATGATGGGCTGAAATCCCAGTTTGTTCCTTGAGGGTTCCATGGACCGACGTGCGAAAAGAAGACGCATATTCTCCGCAGGAATCCAGGGTGCCACAGTACAACGTATCAGACCACAACTAAATAAGCCAGCAGGGTGCATAGCATTTTTGATAAGCGACCAGTGCCTACTGGTGTTATTGGATGGGGGTTGCTCTAGCTTTTCAGCTAGCGCGTTTTGAAAGACAGTTAGAAAAGCTGTTTGGGACGACTCATCACACTTTAAGTGTCCTTGTGTCGTGCGTTCAAAACGCCCACCAAAACACATGGATAGTTTGGCGCAAACTAATGAGTGTTCGGACTTAAGGGAATACTCCAGTACGATCGACAATCATGTATGCAGTCCCGATATTTGTGGCTTATGGTGATGTGATCGATCTGCGTTCGCCGCTGACTCAAGCAGGGCGGACGCCAAGTAGCTTACCAGCAAGTGGAATGTCTGAAGTTCATGCTGGCGAGGAAAAGGTGGTGGTCGGAACATAGAGCCAACAGCCGATCCTCGTTTTCCGAGCGCCCGGAATCTAGTCCGAAGGGACTCCAGAGGTGGGTTTCACTGGATGTCGGCCGGCCTACTCTAGTATTCATATCTCTTGCAAAAATCATGATATAAGTCCTGTTTGTTTTACGCAAAGGGTCGTGTAGTTTTGGTAAAACTAATTTTTGACTGCATCTGGGCTACAGTTCGTTGGAGTGTACAAGTTTCGTCTATCGGAGTGATGGCTGCTTACTTTGCATGATCCTCTGAGTCTCACTGCGCACAACCGACTGTCAACTAGGACCTGATCCATGAGCGCGGCTTCAGCTCTTCCACTGAGAGCCATGTCAATGCCACCAAGAGCTAAAGCCACTGTCTCAGGGTCCCTAGAGATGAATAAAAAAACCTTCGTTTGATTGAGATGTCAATCGAATAATGTGGCTGCACTCATGAAGGCGAGTTTCATGGATGAAACTGATATTGATAGCTAGAGTCTCTGGTGTAAGAGCTCAATATGGCTCTTGTTCTATATGCACGCAGATTAAATAAGACTAGTTTGAAGGGCTATCAAGGACGAAGGACTTCAGATGGTGAAGGACTCGGTGGGACTTGGACGGTAAACGGGGTAGGGCACGAGAAAATAGCAGCAGAATTTCTACCCGAAACACTACTGTTAGTACATACGTCTGAAGAACCCGTAAGGAGTGATGTGAGACGGGGTTTAAAGTAAAATGATGGGAGGTCGAGGGAACGTGAAACGGCCGTTCCCCCATCCGTGACCTGGGGACGCGCTCGGTAGCATACAGCTCTGCTTCCACCGTCAACTCTCAGAATAAATAATAATAATATTATCTGTTATCTAAAATGTTTTCAGTTATCGCGTAAATGGAGAACAAAAGTAATAAATATTGCTTTTTCCTCTTTTTTGAAGTTGGAAGTGTTCTAAGAGACTATTCTACCTGCTTTCTACTTCAATTTGAATATTAGGGTCCCCTCTATCTATGTGATTCTAGTGGTCTCGAGTGTTGCTATTGTATTTTCAGACGCACGCATCAAAACTTCTATTGGTCCACTTCAGAACTGCATGCAGCAACTGGTGTAGGTCCCACTTTGCTCGAATAAATCCACTAACAAAAGGTTCACATTTATTTTGTTCCTAAATAAGGGACTCTCAAAACAAAATTCGTTTTTTGTTGTCTCTCTTCCCCTTCCTCCATTCCTGACCAGACTAGCCCTGTGCGTTACTTACTTGTCTCATAACCTTTGTATTTCATGTATGTTAACGTGTTCCTTATTACCGTAAATAAATTTCAATTATAGTCCTGCAAACTGAACCACTGTGTGTTCGTCATTATCCACAAGTTAAATCGAACAGCCCCTATTGTACTCTTTCATGGTTATTATTCTTTCTCAGAGCCAGTGGCATACTTTTTACTGAATATGTAAACTTTATTGTTTGCAAACATTTCAATGCTTGTAACCCGTGTATCAAGTGTCTATTGTATAATGCCTGATGAAATACTCAAAGCTTTTCCCGAATATACACAGATTCCATAATCAAAGCGCTCCCTGTCCCTAAGCCCACCTACAAAACGGTACTACTCCCTGTCTAGTGCTAGTTTCAGTATTTCATTTTTGGTATTCCTTAGAATTATTTTGTTTGCATACGTTACTATTTTTTTCAATTAGACTTCAAATTTTCCCCTTCATAATGCTTGTATAAATCGCTTCACATATTTGATTCAATTTGAAAATAACTGAATAGGACTCATTGATCAGTGGAGTAGTATCAGTTAGGTTTGACTGTCTGTGGTGAATTCGGAAAACCGAATGATCAATACTTGTGAACACAATAACTGTATGGGAGCAGAATTTATGTGGCTATGGGGGGTTTGAACTCATAGTCTCTGGGGTTATGTGATGGTGACTAACCTGGCTTGAGCATTGCTGGACACCTGCAAACTTGGTGGCTGTGTGCAATAAAATAGAATAAGTATCTCCTCACGATGCGTGCGTAAACACTGATGAAATAAACTGTGAGCTCAACTCCGAATAAAGCGTTTCTAACAGCAATCCAGCTTCAGTGTGGTCTCTCAAACGTTTGAAATCAAACAACATTCGTTTCATTTACATCCCTTCAGGTGGAAGACGATCATATGCGTTTTGAAAGTCAGATCAAACTGCAAGTGTGTAGTGCAGAACAACGAGCATCAGTTACGCAAGACCGACTTGATCCGGACTCCTATACATTGCATCTACGGGGTCATATCACCCGTACACGGTTTCACTTGTATCCTCAAGGCTGTGTGGATTTTGGTACGGTGTATCTGGGCGAAGCACAACACAGTCAACTCCGTCTGTGTAACCAGAGTGCAACCAGGGCGTGGTGGACTGTTATCCACGTAGAACGAACAGCGTTTTGCGCTGATGAATCAGGTGAGATCGTGAGTGACATTGACGTCATCGGGATTAGCGACCACCATTGTATTATCCAATACCATACGATAAACCCCGGAGGTGTGAGAACATCCTGATTAGTAAAGAGATTAACTTTTCGGGGATGGTTAGAGATTACAAACGATCCCGTTGATTAATTTGTTTACTGGCCTAAATCAAAATCTTATTTATGATTTGCCACCCCTAGTGCGCTCGTTTCACAATTCCTTTAGACTTGATTTTTAATAATCTGTAATGTTGGTGATGTTTCACAAGGATTGATAAGAGGTTTGCGGTTACCTGGAGGCTTTTTTGATTGCGTCTTGTGCTTAATATAAATGTGATGTTTTAATACTACCTCACAGATGAAAGTTGACCACACGTATTAAGAGCTGATAGCCGTTCTCTAACCGAAGTGTTTATTGCACACTACCTTCAATGACTTGAAAATGTGTTACGCACNTCTCCCCCCCCCCCCTCTCCGACTCGAGCTATTTTTACTGATCCGGGCACAGTTGGAAGAAACTTGAAGGGGTTTAGTCTTTGAAATGTACTAGGGGTATGAAGAAGCTTAAGAGAACAACGGTTTCACGTAGGGATCAATGATAATGATAATATAATATTTGTTGACTTCTATTTTTTAAACAGATAGACAGTTCATTAGAATAGAGGAAGCGGTCCATCACAGGGCTATTATGGGAAGCAGTGAAGCGAGAAAGCTGGGCAGCGGTTGTGGGATTCGAATACGTGATCTTGAGAGCGTTATTATGACAACCCAAATAAAAC